AAAAAAAAAAAAAAAAAAATACTCTAAAATCTCTTTGCACTTGTATATGTGTTATGACATTTAAGTTTTACAAGTTCCAGTAATCTTTACCCAAAGATATCCACAATGAATGAGCATCAGCTCACCTCCGATTGTAGCATCGGGAAGAAACTCCAGCTATTTCTCGGGCCCAACTCCTTTTTCACGGCTTTCTCGCTCGTCCACCACTCACAATCAACGCTCGACTTTTCAGACACTTGCCCCTTTTCATTATTGAAATTGAAATCCTTGCTCGACCCTAGTGAGATCGTACGGTGCTTCTGGTGAAATTCCTCTTCGTTCACACTCTCCCCATTACAATGTTCTCTCAAACTATCTTCATTATGTTCTCTCAAACTATCTTCATTTCTCGAACCCAAAAATTCCTTCCTGTACGTACCACCCTCCACAATTTCATATCCCGACCCGTTCTTAAGGGATGGGGCCCGCACGACGCAAGTCGGAATGTCCTCCCCGAAAAGCTCAAACGAGACACGATGATCGACCAAATCATCGTTTTGCGGTTTGAGCTCCGAAGTAGCAGGCAACACCATTCGAAGAACTCGATTCTCGACGACAGCTTTATTTTCACCATTAGGCGTCAATGTACCTGAATCGAGCTTCGAACAGGGCGTTAATGACCCAGAGCCAACTCTCGAGTCCCACTTATAATGTTCATAGCCGAGAAACTTGGGAGCTTCCCCCATCCGAAATTCCAAAATAGGCCTTTTATCGGGAAAAAAAGGAGATGAGGTCCCGGAAGTCGAAATGGCTGACCCTGGGGACTTCACGTGGCCCCCAGGGCTTCCTGGATAGTGATAGGGCCGAAAGTCGTACTGAGACAAGGGGAACTTCCCACTATTCCTCCCTTTACGAGCCAAGGACGATGACAGAAGCTGGGCAAACGGCACCTCCGGGGATGAGGGCGTAGTCGTCATTTGTACTGGCTCTGGAGGAGGGGTGAAGGAAGCAGTCGATGGCTCGGTGGTGAAGGTAGAGAAAACGGGCGGGGAGACTAGTTGGGTCTCGTGGGCATAGGGCCCGATTGCGTAGATGGGCCTGGGCCCGGGACTGGGTCCACCAGGGGAGTAGGTGGCCGAGGGGGGGTCGGATTGGAGGAAAGAGGCAGGGGAGGAGGGAGGGGCTATGAAGGGGAGCACAATCGATGATGAGCTTGAGGACTGGTTTCGATTTTCAGAAATCGATGGTACGTTTATCGGTGCGCATGGTGGGTCCGATACAAGGATTGCATGCCCGATTCTTTTGTTCTCTTTGCATGAACCGAAGCACGAGTAGATGCTCCAACAGTTGCCCCATCTTCTCTTCTGAGGAATATCAAACAAATATGTGCATTCTTTTAGTTTCTAGGATGTAGAAAATAGAAATTACTCTGATGCTAGCAAAAACGGAGAAAAGGCATAAATTGGACCTGACTATTGCATCATTTTCTGATCCTGTTATGATAAGGGAACTAATCCTAACTTGTATAAAAGAGAAACTGGGTGTCCACATGTCCAAATAGCATTAAAACTGAAACCAATTAAAGAGGCAATGCAGATGCTTAAGCTCACATAACTGTGAGTTAATTTCTTCTCTAGTAAGAATCCTTAATTAGCCTAGTTCAGCATACTCTTGAAGCTTAGGTTTTCCCATCTTCTACAAGTGTAAGTGTGTAACATTTAGCATTTTCTCTCACAATGTTTTAAGGACATTATGACCCAATCCATCTCATAATCCCTGATTAATAACAATTTAGTCGACTGTGCCACTCTCATCGAGTCTTGGAGCCCACTTGACCTCCCAAAACAAACCATGGGAAAAATGGACCAAGTATGATTGTAGTTTCCTTAGTTATCATACATGGTAAACCAAACCTTCATTTGATTTCATGGATTTAAATCAAAGGATTTCAAAATCAAATTTATAGTCATAAATCATCGAGCTTCTTTTGTGGATATCACATCCTTCGGCTCGTGCTCAAAGCTCCTTTATAAATCATTTTGGTTTCCCAAATAAACTCTCACAAACCTGAATTCTTAAATCCAAATTCAACCAACAACAAATCTTTTACATACACCTTTCTCAATTGAACAATCACTTTTTCGCCAAATCTAATTTGCGGTTCTTTTGTCTTAAGAAGCTTAAAATCTAACAAAAACACTGGCAGCCATAACAAAAGTGAAACTTCTTTTCTGATCCTGCATCTATGCAGAATTTTTCAAGAACTACAAATTCGGTATTTTTCAACATTTTGTACAGTTATACTCCAGCTGCTCATAAACAAACACTGTAGAGTGAAAGAAACACTGGGCCTGATGAAGTTGAAAGAAACACTGGGCCTGATGCTAAAAGATTCACAGACAAGTACTTTAAGAGCTCATTTTTCTCATATGGATTTGATCAAACTATGCAAGAAAAATATGCGATTCGGATCTTTTTCAACTCATCACAGTGCAAATTTTAGAGAATTAAGATAAAATATATACTATATACACAACTAATTAATCAATTCCAAAGCTCTTGAAATGTTTCACCTCAAGGTCAAGTTTATCTGCTGCTAGCCTACACTTTTCAGATTGTTTAATCTAATTATTTCCTTCTACAAAATTATATCCAAAAAATTCTCTTAATTCTGACCAAATATAAGATAATACCCAACACAAAAAGGGGAAAAAAAATCTTAGCAATTGACAAGATCTTATCATGTCATCTGAAAAGAGTGAAGACATGAACACATATAATATAATTTTTAAAAAAAAAAAAAAAAACCATAACCTGAATTTCTCAAATAACGCAAGGGGAAAAGATCAATAAAAATTTGAACTCCAAACCAGCACAAATCACAACAAAAATCGCACATCACGATAATTGGATAATTATTACCAGAGCATAAACAAAAAAGACAACCTAACACAGAAATACACGAATTAACTTACATACGATACCCACCTGAATCGAAGACGGCTGAACTCTGCTTTCAGCGGTAACAATGGCGGTGGCGGCAGCATTTACGGTTTCCACGGTGGTAGGAACGCTGCTCATGGTAATTCTCAGAGTTTTGTTCAGTCAGGCTGAGACAGATTCCGGCAACTCGGATTGGGTTGTCCTTTTCTCCGGCGACTTTCGTCGGAAGTCAATGAGAGAGAGAGAGAGACAGAGAGTGAGGTGCTGAGCAAGATCACATGGCATTTTTAAAGAGAACAGAACAAACCAAGAAACGGTGACCTTTATAGATTGAGCCCACAAACAATTGTTTATTTGCATTTTGGTGCCCGTTTTGTTAGTTAAAAAGTTTATTACAATATGGTACGGCTGGGTGCTGGCGCACCATCAAAATCCTATTTACCGCTTTCCTTTCTCATTTTTAAGTTCTTTCCCTTTTTGAGGAAAATCAGCGTTTTTCAACCCGGGCCGGCCCGATGGGTCGACCCGAGACCCGGTCGACTCGGTGCCAGAACCGGTCTGGGTAGGTTAATTGGACCGGACAACAAAGGAATCGGTCAAACCAGGCCTTGACCCAGTCGACCTGGGGCATTGAATCCGGCTGGGTCAACCCGGTTTCCTATACATATTTTATTTTTCTTTTGTTTTTAAAAATTAAAACTATGTGTGTGTATATATATACTAGTACAACACTTGTGTATTACACGGGTGCTTGTTAAAAAAATATTCTTAAATTTTAAAATTAATGAGAAAACTATATTAAATTTAGTTTACTTTTTTTACAAAAAAAATATATTACTATATATTTTGGAATGATATGTGTTACTTATGACTAACATGTGTTATGTTATATTAGTTTTTATAACTTATATCATATAACTACTTGAAATATAAATGTATTAGTTGATAAATAATTTTATTTTTCTAATTGATATTAAAAGTAATTTTATTATTGTTATAAAGATAAATATAAATTATTTTTTTTATACATACAATATGGATGTTAAATCGAAGCTCATCAAAAGAAGATTAATTTGATATATTACATATGTAAAACTGATAAAAAATACAAAAGTTATTAACTTTTAAAATATATATACAATTCAATAGTTATAATAAGGAATGATATTAAAATACAATTAATACATGTAACATAACCATAAATAATCAACATATTTATGGTAATTCGAACCTAATTATTTTTGGTTTGGAATTAAATTAAAATTTACTCAAGCCTAATAACAAAGCATGTAATTTTGCCACATAGGATTCCGAAGCACCAGAAGCAGCCACGTAGGCTCAGCGTGTTCTGTATTAATATATAGGGGGGGATAGAGAAGGGATCATATGAGAATGATTCCTAGTGAAAGAAATAAGAATGAGTGTGGATCATTAGATTCAACATATCAATGGTCTTGATCAAGTCAAATATTAAATATTACAGTCAAATATGAGTGGCATTTTTGTAAATAAGTATTCAATCATTGGTCAAATGTTTACAGTGGACCATTAAATAAGGACAAATTTGTCATTAATTATTCACACCACACCACACATCACGTGGGGCCCACCCATTCATTAATAACCTCCCTCTCTCTCACATTAACACACACCTACATATTTTTTTACCCACACGCAGCACACACACACACACACCTGCACACACACATATTCCGACCAAAGGCAGCGACTAACGGAGGCGGGTCGACAAGGAGGCTGACGGAGGTGAGGCGACACGACGGCGGACGGAACCAAAGCGACGCGGCGGTAGACGGCGGCGTTGAGGCGCGCTGACAGACGGAAACGAAGATATGTGCTTGTGGACGGAGATGAGGCGTCGAGCCGACTGACAGAGACGAGGCGGCGAGCCGGCAACGGAGCAAGACGAGGAGTCCCGTCTGCTGAAGTTGACTAAAGCGGCGGACTGCGGCGTGACGCGACGGCGACGGCCATCCGACGGCGGCTTCGTGTTGCGTGCGAATCGACGCCGACAGTTTACTGAAGTAGATGAACGGCCGGGAAAAAAAAAAGATAGTTCAATATTGAGGATCAATTTCATTCCCTTGTGAATTGTGGGGTTTTTTTTTATGTAAATTAGATAAATTATAGGGGCTAATTTGCAATTTTAAAAAGTCGTAATTAAAATAGTGAGTTGATGCATGTTTATTTGAGTAATTGATGGGAATACAATTGATATTTAATTATATATTTTACTAAAAATATTTAATAAAAATATATTACATATAGAATGCTGATAAATAATTTTAACAATATATGTATGTAATGCAAGTGTAAGCGTCCTGGTCCGGTTTGAATGGATAGATCTTGGTCCTCGCCGGTAGAACGCCGGAAACCTGCAAATAACTCTCACACCGGGGGTTGTGTCCGGTGAAGAGCCTCCGATGCTTAAGTCAGTATGTGTATGAGTATACTGGAATTGAGAGAATGAATAGAATGTGTTTTGGAAGAAAGGCTCACCCCCTTTATATAGGGGTGAGATACCTGCCCTAAGAGCTGCCCGAATGAGGTGAGCTGGCTGCCCAAGCTGCCCGTCCGTACTCTAACACGCCGCACACATGTCAGAGGTGGCGCAGGACGTTGGGAGTCGTCAGAGGTAGTTATCACCATCACCCAATACATTGTCGACACGTGTTTCCCCAGCACATGGGGTAAATATTCTCTGGAGATTTCAGTCAGAGGCTCCTACGCGCGCCTATGATACACGCGCCCATAACTAGGTCGATTATGAATTCCTCGAAGCGATCACCCTGCTGGGATCGACTAGCTTGCCCGATCACTTATCTGATCGAATTATAGACTGCTCGATGTACCTGATCGAGCATTGGATTGCTCGATTTCTTGTCCAATCGAGCGTTGGGTTGCTCGATTGCTTGTCTGTTCGAGCCTTGAGCTGCTCGAGCGTCAACTCTCCCGCTTTTTTGGCTCGGCCTGCTTCCGGTTTGGCCTCCTCGACCGGCCAAGTGGGCCGGTTTATCCTTGAGTATATAATATCCTATATCATCTAGTCCCCCCCACTCTGGTCGAGTCTAGATGACTCGATCTAAGAGTGAATTGGTATTTATCGACCTCCTTGATGGTTCGTCATCCAATGTCGACCAACCAATAGGTTTACCGCTCATGTTTTCAAATAATTTCCTATTAATTGCCAGTAATAAAGTCGTCTGTTTCAAGTCCTTCCTGTCGCTCCTACTTTTTTGCCACGCGTCACGCCTGTTAGCGTGTGTCAGGCACTTTAATGATGGCGCCCCCTCGCATAACGTGCCCGCTTGGAGTACCGTGTAATTTAATTTTTCCGCCGCACGATCCAACTTTAATCTGACGGTTCTCCTCTTTCACCCCTTAAACTCTCCAAGGTATAAAACCGGTACTTAGCAGAATTCCAGACTTTTTCCACCTTCATCTCTCCCAAATTCCTTTGCATTCAAAGTTCTCTCTGCAAAAAATCCTAGCTCCCGTCGGCGATTTTTCCTGCAATCTTCAAGTTTTCCCGATTCTCTCCTCCGTGATTATGAGTAAGTTGTTTTTCTCCTGATTTTGTACTTCCTGTATCTGGGCTTTTGTGTTTTAAGAAATTTTTTTCTCTCTTTTCTTTTTCGAATTGGGTATCTGAAGTTTGCTGATTGAGTGTTTTGAATATGTGCGTTGAATTTTTGTGCTTGTCTGTTGATCGTTGTAGATTTCGCCCTTCCCCTTTGAAATTCTCTCAGAATCCCTGTTCCTTTTCTTCAAAATAGCCCCTTTCGTGGAACCCTAATTTTGAAAACCTTCTCCTCCTACCCTTCTCCTTTTTTGCCAAAATTCCTCTTTTTGATATTGTTCCTCTCTTCTTTTGTTTTCAGATCCTGCTACCTCGACCACCTCCTCTGGTTCGGTTGAGATCTTGCCTTCCGCACTTGAAGCCGTTCCTCTCTCGATCCTTCGCCCCGGTGATACTGTTCCTACCCGTGTCTTCATAGCTCGTGTTGCTTCTTCCAACTCCGGCGACACCATGGATAATATCCCTCTCCGCCGTCGTCGACCCGCCTTTGGTTTAATGGACGAGCCAGAGGAAGACGAGGCTATTTCTTCTCAACCCGCCGTTCCCGCATCTTTGACCATTCCTCCTTCTTCAAATTCTCCGCCCAAGCGGTCCTCGACCAAGAAACCTTCCAAGCGACCTTCTTCTACCTCTCTCTCTCACCCCTGGTTTAATCCTGACAAAATCGGCCAACCTCTTGGTTGGGCGTTCATTAGATCTTCCCCCTCCGATCGATATGATCATCCTCCGCGAGATTGCTATCCTTTCTTCGAGATTCAGTTCAAGCTCGGTCTCCGTTTTCCTCTAAGTCCTGAGCTACTTCGCATTTGCGAGTGGTTCTCTCTTCCTCTGCATCAACTTCCCCCCAATGCCATCCGCTTCATGAACGTTTTCATTATTCTTTGCCATGTCCGTTTGGGTCGATTCGATCTGGACTTCTTCCACTATTGCTATGGCCCTTCGAAGCAAGGTCGAGGCCTTTACCTGAAAAGCCATAATGGCGCCCACTTCATAAACGACATTCCTTCTAACCTCCCCAAGTGGAGTGATAAGTTTATTTTTGTTCGACCTGATGCTCATTTCCCATGGCCTTCTATTCCTTGGATCAAGGAAGTTTCGCGAGAGGCGGCCTCGGCCCCTCCTTCGAACCCTCTCTTCGACCAGCGGATTCACACCTGGAATGCCAAATCTGTTGAGTCTGAAAAACTCCTTGGTGATGAAAATCTTCTCCACTTTTGCGGTCTGCTCACCCATAAAACTCTTTCTCCTCCTACTGAGGAGATTCTCAATCTTGTTTGTATTGACAATGATCCAGATGATTCTTGATCCATTTGCTCGACTGTTCGTGTGTTTCCTCGTTTTTGTTCTGAATAATTATTACTGATCTCGAGTATACTCTATGTCGCTATTTTCTTGCAGAGGCGCCCAGCTTCAGCATCCCCCCGAGGAGAACCCCCCTGAAAAAGAAGGCAGGGAGCACCTCTGGCTCAGCCGGGGGCCAGGTCGAGGGGTCGACCCATTCTTCGGGATCTCATCCAGAGTCGCAACCGCGGCCGCCTCC